AGTGTTGTTGAAAAGAAGCCACCTGATAATACTTGGTCTCTGTAATACTTGGCCCCCCCCCACCCCCCCCATTGGACCTTGGAGTATCGCCTCTAGTTCCACTCTCCACTCTATGCTCGTAGTTCACAACGTACCGCTGGCGGCTGCTCGCCCGAGAATGACGACATTTAATCCCGTGATCGTTCTAAGCGCTGACGGAAATATGTCTTTTTTGCCAACAGCTGTAAGCGGCTGGAGAAAAGGATACTCCCTCTGACGAATTGGGAAGGGTGGGGCACCATGAGTCACTTTTTTTGGGTCTGCAACTTAGGCATTTGTATTCTTCTGAAGCAATGGAAGGCGTTGCGAGTAAAGACCCACATCACCTGCGCCTGTTTCAAAGCTCTCAACCCCCAAGTTTCGAGGGACGAAAGTCATATTTTACGATGGGGAACCGTGAGTCTGCACGGGGCACCTTGGGTCGTCCCCGTGATCATCGCTAAAATGAAGTTCAGTAGGCCCAAAGTCATCGCATAAATGAGTGTTCGAACCACGGGAGACGTTTTTGGATACGCTTCGATGCAGTTACTTGAAAAAGTAGGAACCTTTAATCGGAAAATAATCTATGATTCGTTTCACCCTCAAGAATATCACTTCGATTGGTATTGAGCCTTTCGGAGTCTTGCGCTTCTAATTCCGCATTATCGAGTCTGAAAAATATTGCAAAGGAAATGATGATTCGCATCGAGACTCTCAGAAAACATTGGGTGCACTACCCATTGTGCCCAACTCGAGCCATTAAAACGAAATCAGGATTACAACCAAAGTAAGTTACGATTGTCGCTCATAGGCGCAGGCATCGAGCCATCGATCTCCCGAATTCAATCCTCGAAAGAATCAAGACTTTTCATCAAAAGAAACGAGCAGCAAAAATCAAGCTGTCACTCTCGATAAAAGGAAAGAAGCGTGTTCTGCAGAAGAACGCACGCACGATCTGCACTTCGTGTGGGAACTCCTCTTTTTTCGAGTAAACTTTCCTGGCACCTCGGCCGGTAGATATATAACAGACGACAGGAAGAGAAACAGTGCAGGGAGTGCTTCTCGACAGCCTGATCCATAGTTCCCCGTGACCCACGGTGCCCCACCCTCCCTTATTTGTCCACAGCAACCCGGAAACTCGATTACCGAGCTGCACGCCGATCCGCGGGTGGGTCGGTCCGATCGAACCCGTGCAGAGCTAAAAAATCATTCTCTAATTCTTCATCCGATACCCGGGGGTTCGAAATTCCAAGGACGCGTCTCGTTTCGATGCTACGGAGCGTAACTCGCCGAAAAGTTGCATGCAATCGGGGTTCCCCCGCATCCCCTGCTATCGAACCAAAGCGTGGCTCTTTCGAATTCGAACGTCATCCCTTTAGAATTCTATGGTATTGTTATGAAGGGAAATCGGGAGTCTGAGGATGAGAAGCATTCCATATTCGTCTTCTGATACCTGAGAGTTCCAAATTCGTGCGGTGTGTTTAATTTGATATTAATGAACGGAATGGAGAATTGGTACATAGGGAAATTCGGGAATGGGGGCAGGGGGGGGGGGGGGGGGGGGG